TGGGGATTGGGTGTGAACCCCCACCCCCCCCAAAAAAAAAAAAATCTTTCGAGTTACTGTGCTTCCGCACTTCTAATAATCTACCATTCATAGAAGCACTCGAAATCGGCTTCGTCGTGCTATTCTGAGTGCTACGGATTAGAATATATCCCATAGTGGTTATGTGCAATTCAGACCGTTGAAAGCAGCGAGAACAGACATATCAACTGCTGGAGAACGGCAGAGTATAAGCTGGATGGCGGCTGTGAGTCACGACTACACGGGTGGAACAAAGCTTTGCGAAGTGCGAATTTTTATGCATAAAAACCAACCTGCAATGACTCCAGGTTGTCGAAGCAAATTCACAGGTGAAGATTTCGCGAACCAAGAGTGATACCACGCACCAGTGTCGGTTTGCGGAGGTGGAGCTACAACGGCACCCGATAGGAGTGGATCACTGTCATCGTCGCTCGGCAACTGTCTCGATTCGCGCTCAATTTTTTCACTCGGCGATCTGACCGGCGCGGGGGCGAACGGATCTAAGGAAGAGAGGAAAGACAAGAAATGCTGTAGGTAACTCGATAGACGAACTCTTCAAGCCTAAGTAGATAGGATGGAGTGAAGTGTACGAGAGACAATAGACGTGACTGAGTAACGGTTCATTAACGTAACGAACCCGGTATTCCATTGTAGGCTCTGAACAAGGGAAGATGCTGCGTGAGGCATGGGATTGCAAAATGCTGACAACTGATCAGGAGTGAACCCCCGATTACACTAGCAAGAGGAGGGATGCGATACGCCTAGGATACTGACATGATATATGCAGAATTGCTGTCAGCTGTTATACAACATATACAGCGGCAACAATCTACCTTTCAGTGTACAGAAATAGGTGAGGATGGAGCCCATTCGGTCATCCAGTAGGCATCAATAAATTATGTCCAGCCTCATGGTTGTCCGTTGTTCGGGGGGCTAACTAATCGGTACTAGGATAGACTCTAACAAGCGATTGATGCACTCTCTCGAAGGATTCTGTAAAATTTTACTTCCCGGAAAAACCCTGCAATCAAGCACAAATACATTTTCGCTGGATAACATTTCTTGAACTTCACACATACATTCTCCTTCCTGCTATAAAATGTGCAAACGTATTCTTTTTCATGGCTGTTACCCTCAACACTATGAGACCTTGGCGAAAAAGCTAACACGCAGATAATGAATGCTTGTACGCATGCATGTTCGTACCTTCCCATACGGGGAGTCTTTGACTCCATATTCAGTGTCATCTAGTTTCTGAAACACATGATCTGGGTGCTATTACAGGTGCACAAAAATTCGACATCTCTAAACGATAGAAATTTTATAAATACAAGAGAACCAGCATTGTCAGTAGTCACCCTCAAATCCGTCACGTTCTGTCGGAGAAATTGGACATGACATGATTTGACGCCACTAAAATTTCCATGTTGCGTAAACGAACACGAAACGTCCAAAACTTCAGTAAATGGGCTCAGAAGAATTCGAATTAACTCATCCATGTCAGACAAGCAAACGCGGATGATCTGAAATGAAATGCATCATTTATTCCGTCTAGTTTCATTTCAAAACCGTGAGCTGTGGAAGCATGTACGGCGGTTCGATTCGCTGAAACATGCGACAGCGAATGAAGGGTGTAAAAACCAGACACTAAGTGCTACCAGTTGTGTGACATTTTCATGTCGACGAGCCTCTCACGGGGTGGAACATTGATATCAAAATTGCCCTGATGACATGCACAAGCACAACCAAGGCTTGTTGTTGCGCTTTTAACGCATCACCTCAAGACCTTAATTGCACAAGTATGCTCCTATTGGAAGCTGCCTCAGAAAGAATATCGATCACCTGAAAGGGCATATCCTTTAGTGCAATTCATGCAGAAGGGTTGTTCGCTGGTCGCAAGGACTAAAAAGGCTAACAAAATAGAGGTGTTACAAGCCAGTGAGAACCTTAATGTCAGTCATAACAGGAACAAAACACCCTAAAACATAAGCTACTCTGCGCACCAACCAAATGCAAGGAATGCAGAGCACAATTCGAAACGAACCAATGCGATTGCGAGGAGGTCGTATACCAACTAGCCAATCAGTAAGAGAAGTCAGCAAGCCCTTGACTTATTATGCCCTTTGTCTCGCTTACATCGACGTCAATATGACAGTGAAACATGTAAACAACAGAAGAAAGCGTGCTGCACTTGGATACACACCTGAACTCCGTACAATCACCGATTTGGATTGTTGTAGATCCTGGGGGACGGGTTCCGCAGGTGCCACGACAGGCTGTAGCTGTAGGAATGAGATAGAGGAGTGAGAAGAAACCCATGAACACAATCGGATCGTCAATATTCAAAGAGTCTTTCAAATGGTCAACGACTCGCGGAGGTAGATCTGAACAGTTCACATTATCACATTTCGAAAAACCCGCTGTTATTATCAGTTTATCTTGTACAGCAGTGTAGAGGGCATCAGAAAACCGAACCTTTATGCCGTTTAACAGGTGCGAAGCTACAGTGAAATCAGAAAACTAATCAGTGGCACACTGACCTTTTTTTAGCAAGAGCGCCTATTGAACTGACCAAAATCACCTCGAATAACGAGATTTCGTCTTTCAGAACCCGAGTAACTTACTTTTCGATTGTCACTGAGGTTCGTTCGTACTGTTTTTATTGTTTTGACGTAATTTTTCAAAACCACTTGAGCAGATACGTTGGAGAGCAACGATTACTGCTGGTGTTACCTTGCCGAGCGGGTTGGTCCACGTTAGAGGTGATCGAAATTTATTCGACTCCTTTTTGCTTCAGGCCCGCAACCATCATGTGCGAACAAAGCATTGGTGGATTTGTACAAATTAACCCATGGTGACCCAGTGAACTAAGGGTTTCTCACCGTTCCCACTGTGACAAAGTATGCAAGTGGGTATCACAACCGACCAAAAGACAACATTCGTTCTGTACTTGCTCAGCTCGTTTTCGATTGGTTAAAGAAAATGGCGGGCAGGGGTGAACAGAGCTCACCGAGGCGAAACAAATTAGGAGCTGGAGCGGCTCCTAGCAGTTCTGACGCATTTCATCCACAAAGAATACCACCAGACCGGATAAAGCTAGAGAAAACTCTATATTCGCTTAAGTGAATTTTCAGACTTCCAATGTCACATGCAAATGATAACATAATTGAGAGAATGCTTTGGGAGAAGATGCCAGGAATGATTTACAAAAGCGGGCAAGAGCAAAGACCATGAAACTATTGCGAAAGGAAGCTCTATTTAGTAAATGTTTGCACATGGAGTGATCGCATGAAGTGTTGGTGAAGAGAATAAAAAGTCTTTGGAAGGATTGTTTCGGTGGCGTTGGGACAGTCAACAAAGTGTATGATTACTGTGAAGTCAGACGAGGTATTCATAGACATCTAGAAAAGTGTTTTAGCGAAATGAAAAAAAGAACAGCAGTCTTTCCAAAGTAGTCCTGAGAAAAGGAGGGAAAAAACCTGTGGATAAAACTGCAGGGTTCAGAAAGCGTACTCAGCCTCGGCATAAAAACCTATAAGTCAAATTCTACTAAAGATTACTTGCACACTGCGGACTGATCAAGACTCCTGTATCGAATCATACACGGAGTTCACAGTTCGAAGTTCTGGGGAGGGGGCTGAATGCAGTCAGAGGTTGACGGCTACTGAGTAGATTATTGTAGCGTTGGCCGGAGGTGAGATAAAAGCATTATTGAGGCACAACTGTATCCTATTCAATATGTGAAATAGCAATACGCACGCCACACTGATCCAGGTCATTTAGAAAGGAACAGTCACTAGTTCCGAGAAAAATTCCTTGTCCCAACCTGTTTTTATACAAGAATTCTCGTGACATTGTACGTCTAAAACAGTGGTTATCAGTCACAAGTGCGGTTTGTTGGATTCTGACAAGCAGAGGAGAGAATGGCCAAATCTGTGTGATCTTGTGTATCATCAATGTAAACAAACAGATGAAAGCATTTGCTTTAGTTTTTATCCGGTGTGAATCACCATTTAGAACCAGGAAGTATGAAATCGAGTTTGATCACAGTCCCGAAAAATTTGCAGAGAAGAAATGTGAAGTCACGCAATGACGCAATATATAGTGGTGTCAGCATTGCGTCCTGTCGAATTCACCCACATTTTTGACCTCAGCTGAAAGTACCGATAAAACCAACCAGAATATTAGGGAAAATTTTCTCAAGCTCTGAAGGCACACTGTCAACTTTACCCTGTCAGATTGGGAAGGACGCGCGATCGACTTCGTATGGCATGCAAAACAAGTCAACCAGGGCGAGAGCAGGTTGTCCTGAGACTGAGAAAAAGTCCATTCAGTTCAAAAGTGAACAAATCTTCATAGCGAATAAAGAATAATAAACGTCTCTCTGTAACACCCTTTCGGTGCCTAGCTGCCAGGCCACCCGGAGGAAGGGCTGGGATACTGCCAGGTCGCACGAAGGAAGAACGAGGACTGAGCTAGTGTCGGTTTGCCCAAACTTAGACAGAAGCAGTCGAGATGGTTCGAACCAGAAACCTACGGGTCAGGTCGCGCCTTAACCACTGAGCCACCAAGAGCCACGGTGACAGAACATTTTATCAGCTAGGGAGTTTATTCCGATTATGACTATTGTGGTTGAGCATGTAACCGGTTCTTCACCAAAACGCAACTCAATCCGGACACGACTGCACAACTGACCATGTTCAATTGTTCTTCAGGATTCGCCGCAATGATCGGAATTTCCGATACCAAGATGACACTTTTCCCCAAACCGATATTCCCCCACAGAAAAGTCCTGCCCTCCGAAAGCTCAAGGGAGAACTCGGAGTGCTGGAAGAAATGATGGACGAATAGTGGCAGCATCCGAGATTATGGTTCGCTGGACCCGCTTCATTCGAGGCAAACCGTAGTGCCACACTGAACTCATTTGTTCTCCATGTGGCTACGTGGGAAAATGGTCGACATTGTGACAACCCCATAACGGGTTGGACAATTTTTTAATTGACTGCAGCAACGTTGAAGATTTCATGGGTAATCTGAATGGAACCCAGCAGACAGATTTCCGTTTCTTTCAAGTTCGAGTCCCAAACAGTTCGTGCTCTACACAAACAGTCCTCACTCGTTCTCCTCCCACATGTACGCCTGTGACCAACACCGCACACAGCATGATTTTGAGAGTAGTTGATAGAAGTAATAACTACTTGCTACGAAATTTCCTGCCAAAATATTCCACATATAACAATCCAATCCACTGAGTGAGAACACGGGAACCGATGACACTGGGCTGGGAGGAAGCCGCCAGCCAGAACGGATGCAATTTTGTTGGTCGACGTCATCCATTATTACCAAACCGACCACCTCAATCCAAATACCCAAAGAATCAAAATAAAGTAAGTTTTATCCAGCAAGTCCATTGGTTCGGTGCACAAGTGTTTAGTTGCAAACATGTGATTGATGACGATAAACGATGAAAAGTAGAGCTGTAAATTGGGGGCAACAACCTGATAAGTTGAGCTAAACATCACGTAGTGGTGGCATAGTGGTTCGAAGAGGGACACTAGGAACGGCACAACAATGTCAACAGGTTCGCGAAGAGGTCAGGCCCCTCCTTGAATCCCTAACCAGCCACAATCATTTTGCTATCCAGGCATGGTCTGGCCTCCAATAGACCGTTACTGCCCTGCACTCGAACGATTCGAGGAACCAGTTCGGATATAGTTCGAAGTATATCCAAACAAAAGCTACCTACATACTGTGAACTCTCCAGAAATATCCGGTACTCCAGACTAGTACTACTTACAACAGACCAAGGCGGTGGACAGAGATCAATACCCAGAACACACGTGCTTCTTGGAATATTCTACCCGCACTGGCCAAGTTTATAAGTCATGTAATCACGTAGAACACACTATGACATTTTGAGTTCTACCATGGAGCGAGATGGCTCAGATGGTTAGAGCGCGAACTTACTGACCAGAAGGTTCGTGGTTCGAACCTCACCTCCAACTCTCGACTTCCCTGTCTAGGCTTGGGCAACCTGGCAGTATCCCAGCCCTCGTGGTTCCTTCGGGTAGCATAGCAGTTAGGCGCCGAAAGGGTGTTACAGCTGTTCGGTTTATGTAGGGCATTTTGACATGATATTGACAAATACATGGATGTTTCGGGTTGAAAAATTCATGCTAACCTTCCCTGGGAAAGAGCAACACCTCTCATTCGACTTATATGAAGCACACACGTACTGGAGCTATCGGTATTCGAGCACAAATGTTTGGTGGGCGTCGGAATCTGAGGGTAACATCAAACAATTACGTGCCTGAGTTTGCTTACCTAAGCAAGAGAGTGGCTACAGTTCAGTATAAATGACCAAAAATTAGTCAGAACATCTCAACTGAGTGAAAGCTGTATTCCTCAAGCTTAAGTGTCAGGCATTGCCTTGACTGTCTAACAAGTGAGTAAGGTATATATATATATATTTGGCGATTCGGAGATGTTGTGAACCTCACGAACCGGAAAACTTCGCCAAAGGCCCCTTAAGCGCGCATTCGCTATCCTACTGTGAACATAATTTCGGGCCCCGGGGTGAAGACCGAACACGATGGGCAAATACAAGAAATGGTATGATGGCAGTAAGCTAATCGGATAGCGCTTGTGTCTGCCTTCGAAGATAGAAACGGTGTCCTCTGCATACTCCACGGTAACAGGGTTCTCAGAAGTAGACATTTGGATGCCGAGGAATTGGAAAAACGAGAGAGCGAACATTATTGTGGTCCATCATTATTTTTGTAGGGAAGATTGCTGAACGCTCAAAAGCACACAAACTCCTCCGTTCCCTGATTCATGAACTCCGTACGGTTCGTATCGGGATTGTGCCGCAAAAGCATGTTACAACAGGGTGGTCCACTCTTAGCTAGTGTTAGTTTGTCTGTCAGGAGTCGAACGAAAAAGTCAATCGCAACAAAATACAACAATAGTGAGGTTTTCCATGCGAACACCTATCGGCACTGTTACCAGTGGCTCTACTCCACGACGTTGCATACCTAGGGGTCTCAGTAGCATGATTTATTTGCCCAATTACTACGCCACCATTGTTCGTGTTCACTCTGCGCCGGTTTTTCCACTCTCCTCCAGGTGGCAACAGGCCAAATACCCAAATGCTGATAATTTATCGCTACCGCGCGGCGTTTCTTACCATCGCCGGTCACATTCATTTCATAGCAAACGGATCGATAAGATTCACTACCGTTAAAACGTTCTTCTATTCTTTAAACCCAATCTCTTGCAAAGGTGCTTCTTACTAGTCTCGATTAGAGTGACGCTCAAAAGAGACCCTCTGAGAGAGAGTTCATAACACACTTCAGCCATGGTTTAGTGTACGATCCATTCCCGAGGGGATACCACTGCCTCAGAATAGGGGCTAGTTAATCCGCGAATCCCACATGACATTGATTAACATAAAGCTTCACAGACAAACACACTCAGTCGTATATCAAGTTGGTTTTCACGGGAGACTTAACTGAGGCTCTCGTTTACGGTATTCCGCAGCTGAATGTGCTGCACCAAGGCCCCCTCATGTTTCAGTTGGCACGATATTCGATAAATCAAAGTATATCTTCATAAAGAAAACTTACAAAGTTGCTGAAAGCTCTTCAACAGCCCAAGACCTTGGTCTCCCGTTAAAACCAAATTGATATGCTAATGAGAGTATTTGTCGAAATCTGTCCAATTTGGGTTCACGTAGAACGTAAGGTTGACGGAAACTCGGGGACTGCAGCTACCCGAAAAGCCCCAAGGAGGCGAAACCAGTCAAGGGCGCATCCTGTAGTTCCAACATTTGTAAGCCGAAACCAAAATAACCATAGTACAAGGGGTTCTTCATGTTCTCATATAGCCCACATGAGTCCAGTGCGGAGCAGCGAGACGCTATGTCAAATTTCTACGAAAGCTGTTGGGATGATCGGCGCTTAACACGAAGGCTTGAGTGTCGGCTCACAATTGTGGCAGGTGTTCATCGTTGTCTGCAATTTGAACTCTGATAGATTGTCGACCCCCCCAGTTGAGCTTATCAACCTCCAATCTACCGACCCGAGCATTCACGTCTTCAGCTAGTACCATACCTTTAGTTCTGTCCACTATGAAGTTCATCCAGTTGATGAGTGAATTCGCCTTTGACGAATTCCACATGGCGGCCAGTCAGTCCAAAGGTGGTAAAGACAAATAGACGTCTGTGCTCCGAATTTATTCAAACTGACTTTGTGTTAACGACACGAAACTGGAGTAACCAATAGCATATTCAGTAACTATACTATCTGTAATCCTAGCCCCACTTTGTCAAGTGACCATCATCTCGTGACTTCCGGTAAATGTCACTGTGGACATCAAATGGTAACTAGAGTGAAACCAGTATGGAAATCCCGAAGTCAAAAGGAATAGAAAGGTCTTATTCGATGGTTTTCATTGTTTGGCGTCCAAGCTGTGATGTCTACCTACGACTAAAGACTGTGACATTCGAGGACGTGCCAGAAGTGAGTGTTACGTTTCTGTTGAACATCAGTTCCTAAAAGATAATGTTCGACTTTTCCCTTGGTGCGACCGAACTTTTGACTGTTACGGCGTGTGATCGAGACATCAGTCAACTTTGTCACTGCGTGAGCTAGCTCACTGTTGTATAATGTCATTAGTTAGCATGCTGAAAGTGTGGGCATGGATGTAGGGTGAGTGAGGCAGCAGATTTCGAGGATTATTTAAATAAAACGGTTGTTCGATTTAGAGGAGAGTTGTACCCATGTATAGACAGTTGCGACGTGATCGAAATAGTTCAGTGCGAGTCACAGGTCTTTCACACTCTGACAGATGTTGTTATGCACATAAATTATGTCCATCAAACTTCGCTTGTATAAAAAAACTAAACAGTTAGGGAGTACGCTTCATCGACGCAACCCAAGACAAATATACCTATCCGTACCACCAGACTGTCTTGCGCTGACCTGGCTTGTCACATTACACCTGAGACGAAAGACGTACATGTGCGGACAATTGTTGAGACCCAGCGCAAACCCAATTTAGAGCTGCATGTGACCATGAATACGCCACAGACATTGGTGGACGAAGAACTCGACTTCAGCAACATCCGATGATTATGGAGTTTCCCAGGCGGAAGATCGATAGGCGACAGATTGTCTGCTAGGCAAGGCATACTGACAATTATCACAAATTCTGATGACATTCCCCATGGGCATTCGTGGTAAGTTGCGCTTGTAGACATGTGCATACGTGTGAACTGACTACCAGGCGAAACAGCAAGGATGTACCGGGGCAGACCGAACGTCACCCTCGCAACAGCCAACCAATCGGATCCAATGTGAACGCATCTCAAACCGGAACTGTAGCGGCGACAATCACAAACGAACTTAAAGACATACACAAAAATTCAGACCGTTACCAATCCGTGATATAGTATTCAAAAAAGTTGTTCGGCAAAAGGTCACGCATCCACGATACAATAATTGGGAAAATTAGTTCGGCACGACAAACATTTCCCATCGACAACTGCTACGGATATTTTCATAGATGTAATCAAGCCATCTCATGTCTGATCAGTAGAAAATGGGTCATCGCCGAAAGAGGAACAGTTGTGAGTGACGGACCTATCGTATCCTTAGGAGCAGCTGATCGTTTTACACATCATAACAAGGATAATAATCGTTGAACTGTAACACCATTTCATTGTATGGTTGCCATTGCACGCGAGAGAAGCACGAGCGCTTGCCTAATTAGCAGCAGTTGAGATGCCGAATTTGTACACAGGCACGCAGATTACAGGCAACAAGGAACTACAGTACGCAGAGAAAAATACACTAAGGGTGAACACTGGTTGAACTGACTTGAGTAGAGGAAGGATTCGGTGGGCTGGGGTCAGGAACGGCAGTGTCTGTCACAATGAGACTGGTGGGATCTGAAAGGAGTTGGGCGAGAAGGTTTTAGCAACAGCTGTAGCAACGACAACAGGCATGCAACGATCAGATTTAGCAGCAAAATAGTTACCACAAGTACATTTGCGGAGAAACAAGCGCAAATACGGCGTTTTGAAAGTTTATGTAAAAAAATGTGTGGACATCATGCGCTTCTTGTAACGAACTGGATATGGGGGACGACGATAAGCAGCGACTAAGATGACGCACGAAGATGCTTCAAAAATCAAGTGGTAGGCCGCCCAATAAATGATAAAAGACGTTGACGGATAACGAAAGCCCAGCGGATAGACGAAACTTTTGCCACAGGCAACAATCGTGTCTTGGTTCAGAGAAAAGCTATTACGTGCTATCACTGTACAATGACCAGGGACTTCCTCAATCCTTCTGAGCCGCCTCTTTCAGAGGGGACGAGGGAAGCAATACACGATCCGTCATTTAAAAAAACACTGTTGGTTGAGTCCGCCTGACACTGTACCTGTACGCTCAGTGATCACTGTTGCAGAACACTGACAAAAGGCCAGTCAGCAACTACCCATAGTACAGAAAACACCTGGCACGTGTAAGGTGAAGAGAGAATGAAATGGCGTGCAAAGATGGAATACCATGGACCCAACGAGCCAGGATGGCAAAGGGGGACAGAGACTGTAGGAGACAGTGAAAGGCCGTTCAAAAATTTGGACGACTGAAGTTCAAAGTTGCTCAATAGGTTCTGGAGTCTATGAATTCTGTCACAAGCCTTTCTAGGACATCTAAGAGATTCCCACATATTGGCTATGATGTCGCGTGGAATGAAAGAATACGTACACGAAGCTGGCTATTACTTTGGGCTATAAATCATATGCTGTGTACCAGAAGGTAACTGGAACAGCAGTCGACCACATCGACCTGTAACTAAGTGGTCAAACACTGGAGACTGTTCATTACCCTTCACCCGAACTTGTACCTGGGACCACCAGATATTACATACAAGTCCGCAGAAAGTGGATACTTAAGGCATAGCAAAAGGCCTTAGAGAGCCTGTCGTACAGCATTTTGTTTTATTGACCAGCTGCCATAAAGCTGACTACTACTTCCGTGTCAATGGCAAAAAAATATTTTAAAATGTCCCTTATCCTCCCCCCCAGTTAACTTGGTACGTACGGTTGCCTCCAAACGCCCGAGTGTGGCCTGGGGTTAAGGTCCAGAGAAAGAAATAAAGTCGTCCTTCGTAAGACATTAAAATGCTTTCAAGAAAACTGTTAACAGACAGCTTCTGTTGAAAGGTTTCTATTGAATGACTTCTTGCAAAGCACGTGTTTCTACAGAAGTGAAGGGGCGAGTGCGACTGTCTAACGTTATAGCCTGGTCAATTGTCCATTAGGGTACTGGTTAACACACAATTAAAGATTAACAATAGCGCGGGAATTAATCAGTGCCAACAGGTTGGGCGGACGAAATCGGATGCACATCTTCGAGAAAAAAACGGGTGCCCGAGGGACTAATTGTACCACATTACCATGAAAACCTCATGAACATACCGTATCACCGTATTAATTACTTTTATGCTACGAGCATCCTGCGCCCGAACCATAGTCCTTGAAATGCGGAAACATCTGCTTAGTACACGCGCCAAGTTACTGAACCTTGCCGACCAAAAACGCAATGTTCGTCTCCAGCAGGTGTTTTACCGACCGAAAGAGTACCTTCTGAAGCGATACTCAAATGAGGAAGACACCAGCTTCGCTAAATCCTAGTTCATTCGCTCTGTGCTCCTCCGGTGGGAGACTACATCGTACGGACGCGCAGAGGAAAACGACAAAGTGAGGAGTCATGCGCTCATATGCATACAATTCGAATTCTGTCCAACAAGACATTCTACTCGGTGCTGCTCACTGCCTAAACATCTATTTCCTGAGCGTCGATGACATCCGTTAGGCACTAAACTAACATATTCGCTTCAAACGGGAAGTTAACAATGTTGATTACTGTTGCCAAAACCAGCCAATATCTCATGGTCCAGTTTGAAGGCTGTCTCAAACACGCTGCATTAGCCGTTGCGCGTTGCAATACAGTTGAATATCGGAAAACCCAGTGCGCTCCCTTGAATTTGGTAAGCCAGCCGGCCAATCACTAAACCATCCAAGTACCCTGCACCTACGTCCCTCAGCTGCATCCTGCAACCCAAAAAACAATCGTAGTGCTCGTCAGGAGCTAGAAAATAAGAAAGCCAGGAAAAGACGGTGTCATTTGCTTCATTTGGAAATCGTATAAGTAGTGACATATCAATGGCGTAAACTTATTATGCTATAATTCCCTAGGGTGACAAGACATCCTGAAAGGATTATCATGGCATCGGTTTCCTGGGTACCGCCGCAAAGATGGTCACTTCGCTCCTGCCAAACCACTGTGGCTGAGAGGTATTCATGCACCTGCCTTGACCAATTCAATTCAATTCAGTTTGTCAGCTATAAACCGTGTACCATAGGTACATTGCTTCCAGCTGCTACAGTTTTGGTTACCGAAAAAGTGGAGTGTGTGAAATACAACCAAGCCCTGGAGCCGAAGGCATGTTCAATTTGTTCGGAAACTGGGTAGCCACGCGTTGAATGCGATAGCTTTGATGCACAAGCGCCACTGACTGCGCGATTGGGTCATTCCTGCCAATGTGATTAACCATTGGTGATTTGAATCCCGGGATCCTAATCCAGCGAGGAAGCCTGCCTTAACCAAGAAAGGCTCCGTCCTGATTGGAGCTGTATTCATCAGATATATTATGTGGTGTATAGTGAAATACAAACAACGGTCTGCTTAACTCGTATGTTACGCTTTATTCCATAGAACACTATGTGTTGTAAAACACGGTGAATGACGGAGCGCCATTTAAACCAGAACGCTTCATGAGGTCACACCACTCCGATAGTAAAGCTCAAATCCGGGGGCAAGACGAAGAGTTTGACGATTTCATCCGCCGAATCATGAAACATCAGGGATTTCCGCTTTTTCCTGTCTTTCTCAGCTACGCTATTGTTAGGATCATAGAAAAAACCATCCAGGATTTCGACCGAAAGCATCGCTTATGGCGATCAGTCCTTGAGTAAGTTGGTATTGTGCTCTTTGGTAATGGTTTTAACAGCATCACAATTGCATCCGACCGTATTAGGCAATACGTCGCAATAAAAAATAAATAAATTGTTCAAATGTAACACCTTTTCGGTACCTAGCTGCCATGCAACCCGAAGGAAGCACGAGGGCTGGGATACCGCCAGGTTGCCTAGGCCTAGACAGGGGAAGTCGAGAGGCAGAGGTCGGGTTCGAACCACGAACCTTCAGGTCAGTGAATTCGCACTCTAACCACTGAGCCATCTCGCCCGTCGCAATAAACAGCCTTGGAAATAAAACTGCCAAAACGTGAAGTATCAACGCGTGCTGCCGGTATAGGAATATCACCAGTACCGCTTGGAGTCATCAGATACATCGGATCCCTCATTGTATCTGGTGCCCAGGCAAAGAATGAAGCCGAAAACCATACCGACGAAACCAGAAGAGCGTTGTGGTGCGGAACCGACATTCGAGTCTACCGAATTGTTACCCGTCCTGTTTAACTTTACAGACCCGAGACCTGGTGTCAGCTTGAAGTGTGTTTAAGCATCATATTTAGAGCAGGGCGACGCTATCGACTATATCACTATGATGCACATCAACGTTGCTTCGGAATAACCAATCTGTCCAGATCTAACAGCACAGTCTACAATGGATCGGAAGGGCAGGTCGCAAACTGGAAAATGAACTGATAAAGATGGCCCTTCTTACATTTCCCGCGCGAGCTAGCTTTGTCGCGCCGGTCGGCTCAAAATACGGCGTTGACTGCTATAATTCATGACGTCCTTGAAATCAGCTCATCTTGACGTAGGAGGTAGTCGCGGCACAGCAAGTATGCGGTTGATCAGACGGTATGTGAAGAAAATCGTTTCATAAACAATGGCCACGAAATCACATAGAAAGGTGAGCTCTAAAGTCAGGGAAGTCCTGGTAGAAGAGACAGACATCCACATAACACACCCGAAAAATGCTTCCATCTCCACCCTGGTGCATCAGATACGGAGTAGAAACAGTAAAAAAAACCGCGAGCACGGGTTAAAATGACCAAGGCCATTTCAGTGACAAAATCGAGCTCATGAGCTTACTTTAGTATGTAGGAATTTTCTCCGCCCAAGCGAGATGGAATCACAAATCAAGCTAACTGCATCAGGGCGGTTGTTCTCTAGTCGACACAGAGCACGAAACTGATGTGAAGCTACCAATCTGTGCCATTCTGCAGATCCGAGAGCTCTGTTGAGTCATAAGATTTACGAATTGAAACCCCCTTACCATAAATATGTCCGATCGTGGGAAGAACGAGGGTTTACGAAGACTGGTCATAAATGCTGATATTGGTGAAGGTTTGTTACTGACGGGCGCGGCAACGATAGTAACGCGAATTTCAACCATTCAAACAGCAATTTACGCTGGCGTTCACCGCCTACTCTACAGAGGCCTCACGTGGTTTGCCATTCGAAATCAATGGGTTGACTTGTCGCTATAAAAACAAGTTATACAGAGAAAAAAGCCATCTACTGTATCCCTTGTTGTAATGTTATGATCCGTTTGTTTTTACTTTTACGAAAACTCCCCAAATATCAGGGTCAGTCGTTTTCTGCAGTTTTACACCCGTTTGGTAGAAATATTCGAAAAAACATTGTTGGACGGAACACGACACAAAACTCCTAGGGACCTACCTTCAACGTCACTCTCCAACAAGTCTATCCGGCTCACACTGGGGTCCACGTAACCCAGACTGGGAATGTGACCCTCATGGAGGCGATGTCGAATGAGGTCCTGCGGATCCTGTACTGACGAATGACCGACAGAAACAACCTGAGCACGGTAATAGATCAATCCACCGGCAAGAGGATCTCTCGGTGAGTGTTGGGCTACTGTGACTAGCTGCTTCACATTGATAACCCGTTGAAATCCACCAACCGATTTCAGAATACCCTCTAGACCGAACCGGATGCGGTCACGTAGCTCGGCATCTTGTGCTTTGGTCAAACTGGAGACCACCTCATCATCCAAACGGTAGCCTTCTGATTTACGTGCGAGTGGGGAGGACCAGTTGAAAACGGGCGTGCGTATGGCCAACAGAACTGAGTATAGGGCTTTGAGGTGCGAGGAAGAAAGGAGGAACAAGGGTCAACTAGATAGTGGTGGATTATTGCACTACAACGGACAAAATGGCAGTTCATTATCATCCCTCCCCCCAATTATGGTTTGACCCGTTCTGTTGGGAAACCCTAAAATGGAGAAAATAGCAAAACAGAAAAATGAGACGGAATGAGTGGTAGCTTATAACAGCTTCAGTTCACTTCAATAAGCAACACTACAAAAGACGCAACAACCCCCCAGTGACTTCAGCAAACAGCTACATCTCACTACAGGATGCCCTGTAATAAGTATTAAGCTCGAAGTGTGAAATGCTTGATTATTTCGGTTAACTCTATCTTATTATCGACTGATCGCCCTACATCCATACATTCTTTGCATCTCGACTTCTGTCTAGGCTTAGGCAAACTGGCGGCATCTCAGCTCTCGTGCTTACTTCGGGTGCTAGGCACCGGAAGGGTGTTACAGCCGAACGGTTATCGATTATCTATATAAATGATGTCAGCCCCACTTCGTCGTAGGCATATCATCAAAATCCGTTTTACGGTCAGTGGTGAATCGCTAGTGACGAGCTACTTCCGGATGCAAGCACCTACAACATTTGATCTTCTTATGGTCTTGTTCAAATTGCTGAAGAGATAATATTGTTTTCAAACAGTAGAAAAACAGCAGAACTCTCTCACTCTCCCCAATCAGATAATATTCTCGATGCGTTCTTACGAAGAGAATCATATAAGCGACAAGGGATCAATACGTTGGGAGGGGAAACTGGCCTGTCAGTAGTGTTGTGCTTCCGATGACTTGCATTTTTCGACTGAAGGTGAAACGAAAAGAGTCGAACGTTTATTTTTTTCTCCCTATCAGCACATCACAACATACTGCCATCGCTCAATGAAAAGCTGAGAAATTAGGCTAATAAAGTTACTTAGTGAATACTTGCCAGATTGCTTGACATCACTTACGGACCTTGACAGGTCATCTCTGGATGAAAGCTCACCTGAACCAAAAAATTTTCGTTTCGCCAAGAGCTGACACTGTACATTTAAGCGGAGCAGGGCATCCAGCTGTGACATGTAAAAATCAAAGAGCCTGTGGAATACTCCTTAACCGTGTTGTCAGAAGTGTCAAGCACCAGAGGTTACACCGAAAAGCAAAAGTACATGGAAACTGATCTGCTCATGTAAAGCTCTCGTTAGGTAGTTTCTGAATGGTCGGTTATGAGCAATAGTCGTGTCCCGAATCAATTGTTCGGTCAACAGTTAAGAAAGTTACGCGGATTATTAAGATCCTATCCCCACCCCTGCTCCCGTCCCCAAAAAAAGGCTCTACCCCGCAAAAACGATGAATCAAATGATCCAGTTCATTGCTTGGCGGAAAGATAGGGGGACAAGAATCCAACCATTTATTCAAACAACACGTCTCGATTCCAGTGCGGGGTAGTTCATAACAGCCCCATTATCATGGATATTAATACACCTATGATAGATGATGGAACTTAACTGTCGTAATAATGGCTCCACTTGTTGAACCTATGGAGAATGAAAGAGACGAACAGTCAAACAGTGCTGGAACTTTTCACTGCGACCAGGAGTTTAGGGAGTACGAAGTACGACAGGTTAAGGAATAATACCAGCTACGCTACGTGAACCCACCATATCCAACCTCGGGCTCTATCCCATAGTCAGTTCCCACAGGTAGCACCCAGTAGGGAGTTATATACTGTGTAGAACTCACCTGTAATTCTGCTTTATAGGCTGTAATAGTGGTTCAGCTGTAACCCCTTTTGGCGCATAGTCGCAATGCCACCTGAAGAAAGCACGAGGCCTGAGATACTACCGGGGTGCCGAAGCGTAAACAGGAGTAGTCGAAATGCAGAGGTTGGATTCCAACCAAGGACCTTCGTTTAGTAATTCCGCGCCCTAACCACTGAGTTCTCTCGATATCACAGACCGTGACAGCGATACACAAGGTAGAGGGAATTTTCGAAGAATCATACTGGGAACATAACCGTAAGAAAGAAGTTAACAAGAGGCAGAATCCTTACCAGTTGAACAATCCCCAACTTCTGAGGGGCTGGCGCGAGTACCGGTAAACACTGCTCCGGTAGTCACATTCACACAGAAACAATCGTGCTGACTGCACTGTCGAGCCTCAAACAGTTCGGGTCGATCACTACGACATTGGGGACGGTACGGTATAACGATGCCACCAGCTTCCGAACCGGCTCCAGTTGCGGAATTCAGTTGTACGGCCACCTGACAGTTGGCTATGAAGAAAAGTTAGGCAAGGGTTCGGAAGGTGAAGCCCACAATAGAGCATTCAAATATATCTGAGAAAACTGACCGACAAGAGACAAAAAGAAAATGGGCGTAGTTCAGGTACACCATATATACAAGAGCATGATCTCAGGCCATGATCATGAGTCGCCAGGCGTTATGGCACAATGTGACGACAGAAGAAATCCCACCTGAATTTGCGTATTACTTAAAAGCACTACATCTTATCTTCAACAGATGGATGGGAGTCAGCGAGTGGATATCGCCCAAGTTTACCGCATTCGGTTGAGTTAGGCGACCATGACGCCTGTTAAAAGTTCTTCTCAACTGTTTTTGATGTGATTTCGCTGTCTGTCTCCCAAAAGTTGCAGACCAAAGTGTAATTGGGGTGTTTTCCCATATTTTTAGAACGCAGCGACATAACTCTTCTGAGGTCATGACGAAAGGCAAAACAGATTCTCGGATAGAAACGGGAAGATCGACCATTGCCAACAAATGGCCACATGTACTACACAACTCTTCCACCAACTGCTTCGGTACGCTTGAATCGGTCCTACAAATGGAAAGAGTGGTCAAACACAAATGTAAACAACTACTCTCCATGATAGACCAGCGACTTCATTCAAGCATCGCTCCGGCTTGATTGGATTGTAGGGTCAGTATTGAGGAACGCCTAATGTCGTGTCCCACTAGCAGACTAGTCTGGATCTGCGGGTTGCGCCGGTTAGCGCATCTGCTTCGTGTGCCGGAGACCCACCTGTTACGTAACGTTTTTTTCGCCCGACCATCTCCTGACAGACCGGAGAAGAACATGGTGGCGCAAGAAAACTCAGTCTCGTTGACACCTATTTATCTCCCAACAACGGTCCCGTAATATGACACGCACTTTGTTAGGAAGACCTGAAGACATCACTCAATTACGTATCGTTCCGTGCATCAAACTAATACTTGTCAACCCGAATCTACCGAAAAGATCGACTAACAAAGTACCGGACAAAGTACTAAATTCAGCCGATCACTGCTCATCAATAGTAGACTAATCTGGTGTATTCCGCTCCTTGTAACCCTGGTTCTGCTATCATTTTCATCTTCTATTCCTGGATCATCGTAGAAAATAAACTTCAACAGCTGGGGTCATCGTATCAGTGCATGGTTTACGGTTCCTACCAAACCACGTAGGTACCGCAACGGTACGCACGCGCCACGCAAAACGAAGGAAATATCAAGCTTGGGGCAACTTTTAACTACCTGAATGTCATGACTATCCTGTGTTCACACTTTCGTTCCGTATTAACTAATCTTTAGCTTGCACTTTCAGCTTACGTACGTCTATTCTTAGACAACTAAGGCGCTATTCAGCCTTGTTTCCGCGCTAAATCAGGATCGATACTCCATCCGTAACACTGAACCCACACAAGGAAGGCAAACAGCCAAGGACGGACTGAAACCGTTGATCCTTGTGGTCAAGGGAAAACTGAGAGCATCTGAAACCTAGTCGCCCTCTGAGAATTTGGGTGAAAAACACTGAGTGTCTCCGATTTTTGCCCTATCGCACCTGGGATGATTAAAACAAGCGCTGTAGAGAAGCATTTCAGTAACAAAAATGCACTCGACAAACTGTATATTTACCTTTGTATAGGGGTTCCAGGCCGAGAACAGGTCGAATAACTCCATTCTGGGCGAATCCAATAAGAACCTAAAAAGTAATCGGAACGCGTTGAGAGTCCAGTCAGTAGGGGCATGGTGAAAGCATATCAGAATTAACAAACAACTTACTTGTTGTAGGAAGATCAGCAACAATGAAATATTCATTACACAAGAAATTCAACCTGGAACACAATCCGGATATTGTTCACTTCAGTGTTTTTCGAATCAAAAATTTTGCTTAACGATCGATAGGGAACAGGTCTACACAGTGAGCCTGTCTGAGATTGTCGCCCCAAAGACGTGAAAAGTAAGTAGTGTAGATCTGTAGAAAATAAAGACATGTTTAGTTGAACACTCATTTTCAAACTGAGGTGCTGCTGTGCGACTCAGATGAGTTGCTCGTTTGTAACACTTTTTCATGCAACGTACAGCAAATGGTTGCCTAGGAGTACACTGAGGTCAATGTTGAAGATATCCGAATACTTTCCCTTATAAGGTCGATGAGAGACTGGGCGAAGGAGCCCCACTTGGTAAACGGTCCTCTGGCATGCGAAGGACATGACCTAGCCAGTGTAACCTGTGGAGTGTGATCTATCGGTGATCTATCGGTGGAGAAGCCATGCTGTTGATGATGATAATGATGATCGAGGGAAAGTGAACTTTGCCGGAAACCACTTGCAGAACTTACGTATTGGGGGGCGAGATGGCACAGTGGTTAGAGCGCGAATTTACTAACCGGAAGGTCCGTGGCTTGAACCCGACCTCTGTATTTCGACTTGTCATATATAGGCTTGGGCAATCTGGCAGTATCTCAGCCCTCGTGCCTCTTTAGGGGGGCATGGTAGCTAAGCATCGAAAGGATTTTACAGCTGAACGATTTTACTTAGGTACTACTTGTCATGGGTGTTGTCTGCTTATTAATCCCACTAGATATTTGTATCTAATCTTAGACAAGTAAAACGTTGTTTATCTTCGATAACTCTGACTTGTTCTCGGCTTCTCACATTACTTGTCTAAGAATACAATGGACCTACAGCTACAACCTCGGTTCTTCGACGCCGCATATGCAGCAAAACGCTGATATAACAAGTTTTGTACTTCTGACACCTATTTGAAAACTCTCGAATCTGCTAAACCCGGCAAACTTGAAACTCTCATCCACTTTTCAGGTACACTGGTGTACGACCACATTACTCATTACACCCACTATGAATATGCGACCGACACGTTAAGGAAATTGCATGTCCGCCCAAGAAACGCTATATATGCAAGTTTCTGCTACAGACATATACGCAACAGAACGGACAGGACATTGATCAGTTCGTACAAAAACAAACCAGTAGCCAAAAACCGTGGGTTTAAATCAGTATCTGCAACTGAATATCAAGATAAATGTGTGCATGACGCTATAATTGACGGCCTGGCGGCATCATCTGTCCAGACCAAGCATCTCAACTTGCCAGAGTGACCACGACCGTTCAGCTGTAGCACCCTTTCGGTGCCTAGCTGCCATGCCACCCGAAGGTTGCACAAGGGCTGGGATACTGCCAGGTTGCCCAAGCCTAGACAGGGGAAATCGAGAGGCAGAGGTCGGGTTCGAACTTGCTAGAGCTGGCTCACAATCCCAATTATACTAGTAACGAACCTATATCCTGCCCTATGATTCTGTCCATTTCACAGGAAACCCGAACTACGTGTCGATCCGATCACTGTTTCTGTAAAGTTTGTCTAAACATGTTACTTTTGTGGTTATGATAGACATCCTCCTTCAAAGCGCGCCGCTCGAGAAGTCGATCGTAATCTTTGTGGCAAACGCGATCGCCTCCGTCTCATGTGCCGTTCGAAAAAAATACCACAAAGTTCTATACAAATTGTACAATGAGGCGAAGGTTCTGGAAATCCTCTGGTAGACTTATCAAAGCAACACAACCTTTTGAGCGCCAGAGTTTGGGTTTTAAAGGTCCCCTGCCATCTAATACACGCAACCGCTACATATTCGCGATAATTGACGAGCTCTCCAGATTCTCAATTGCGTTTACTTGTGCGGTTATAACCATAGAAGTGATTGGCTGACTCACACAAATCTGTTTGTTCAGAACGCCAGCCTATATTCATTCCGACAGAGGATCATCGTTCATGTCGTCTGAGATCAATAGCTTTCTTCTGCAGAATGACGTTATGTGTAATACATCGGCTTATAATCCACAGTGTAACGGTCAGATACCCGCTGGAAAGCTAATAAGCTTGGCATTGAAATCTCACAACCTGCCACCTTCTCATTGGGAATCGGTACTTCCCGCTACTCTACGCAGCCTCAGACCACTGTTGTGTGCGACCACTAGCTGTACTCCACATAATCGTTTGTTTCAATAAGCACGTCGCTGAACCTTTGGAATCTCGTTACCTTCTTGGTTGACCACCTCTGGTCCAGTCCTGCTGCAGTGAAGTGATAAGTCATTCAAGTGTCAGCCGCCAATAGAAGTCAACCTTCTGAACTGCAAATCACACTATGCAACCGGAAGTCAGCCAGATTATCATCAAGCATCGGTACTCTCTTCCGTACAATACTCCGAAGGTCAACCGAGTTATGTTGGAACTCTAGAACAGCGGCGCATTCATCCTTACAGTTTGGGAAATAGAGAAGCCTGACTCAGTAAACCATCTCCTATGACAGTACATTTGTGCTCATTCGAACTGTCATTATCATTGTCTGTTTATTGTCGTAATTACCCTACTCGTATTGAATGTTTGTACGTACACTTCAGCTTGTTCACGCTTGCTCTTAGACAAGTAAAACGTTTTCTACATTTGATAATCCGGACTATCTCCCAACTCGTTCAAGGGGCATTCTAAACGTCTCAATACTGATCTGGTGTTCCCATCAGACTTTCATAATGCTTCAGAGGAAACTATAGTCGAATACAGAAAGCCTTTGAAGGTCTTCCACACGCAGCGGCAGCGTTTCTGATCCATGTAGTCGGACCAATCTGACCGCTGCATTACACACTCTGCCCTTGACAGTCAGAGTGATGTCAGGTCAGCGCCACATATGTCGAGAATTAGCGACATGGCAAGGACTTTCCCAATTATGGAAGTAATTCAGTCTTTCGCCGGTCCACCGGAAGTTATGCAGATGCATAAGTAGAAAAACTCATCTATCTCACCTGCAAGCACGAAGCTTGGGCTTGATCCAACTCAATCTTGCGGCAGCACAAGTACTAAGCGTATACAGAAATGTGTACCAGAATTATTTAGGCTATTAAAAATAGACTGCCTTTCAAAAGGGCCTGACCCAAGAATAGCAATATTGCCAGTGTATTTAACGCTGGCGACCGAACGCCCCGGTTGTATTTCTATCGCCAAAGCAGGTAAAGATCAATGTAGTATATCAATTACGAAGTTGAAAGAGGTTATATAAGTCATCCTTGCCTGAAGCCACTGGGTGCCGTGAACTCAGGAGAAAATTCGCGTACGCGTACCTGGGAATAGGCATCCTTCGTTGCTAGACACTGCTACAGTCTCTGATGATCAACGGAGTCAAAAGCAGATATGAGGCTGAGGTGGTGACGGGGCAAGTGATGATCGTTGGAGATTAAAACGTAGTTAGGAGATTCACGGAAAGGTAAACATATGATCGGTTCAACCCCGGTCACAGCAAAACAGCGTCATTTTCGCAAATCGGAATCTCCCGATAATGGACCAACCTTCGTATGAAGCTATAGCCATTACGTTGATGCTCCAGTGGTCTTCAAACGCCTCTCCACCCCTTTGGTGCTCTATTCTGTTGGAATTTTTTCTTCGTTCCAGTTATTTTGTGGTAGGGTGGTTAGGTTTGCCACAACGGACTCGCCAGCTTCTTTAAAGAGCGCGGGGTGAAAACCGTCTGGACTACGTGTTTTGTTGCACCGAACCAACGAGATTGCAGACTGGACTTCCATCGACGATGCGGGGACAGCGTTTAGCATCCGACTCAAATTCATTTGATCTTTCCAGGTGAGCTCATGGGGCTTGGCTGAAATGCCCCTCAAAGTGGTCAACCCATCGCTCCAAACGGCGCATCCGTGAATGAACTAAGGGACCGTCCTTTTCGGGATTCGTCCCACTAACCGTCAAGGATCAGAATGGAGAGGACATCTTGAATAGAGAACGCCTCGACCGACGGGCCAATACATCGAACAATAGTTATCCGGGGCTATAAGTCGTTATTCCTCTGGAACCCACAGTTGACGCAGAACCATGGACGGTGAACGAAGAACCCCCCACGTCTTCGGAGGTTTATGACTGCATATGTTCTCTTAAGCACCACCGAGCTCCTGGTCAGGATATCCTCCGACCTGCATTTTTCATGGATGGCAGGGAATTATGGGGTTATGGCATGCCTCAACTGTTAGCCTGCATTTTGGAAAAGATTATTGAGGACAACTGGGGAGAATCGGCGATACTATCCATTTTTAAAAAGAGGCTCGTAGTGTGTGGTAACCACATGGGGATCAGCTTGACGCCAGTCGTAACGAGACTCTTGGAGTTACTTGTACTTCGTCGCCTTATGGTAACTCTTGAAGCACTGACTCGAAAGCAAGCGGGGTTCCGAACTGGTAAAGGTTACGTTGGCCAAATCTTCAAACTCAATTAGGCGATAAAATGCCATTAGTACAAACGAACCATTCCTGGATTTCCAAGGTGTACTCGACTTGGTTGACTGCTCTGTACTCTATAACAGGCCAGCTCATCGAGGACACGCTAAGGTCATTGCACTGTCAGACTTTCGGGCGTGACAGTATACGAAGAGGTCTTCAAAAGCTTCCACACACAAAGCGTTGTCCACCAGGGGTGCCCACTCGCTCCAGTTCTATTTAATTTGATGGTCAACGAGATACTGAAGGGAACGCTGCGAGGTCTTCAAAACCATGGCGTTCAAATAGCTGCTGACGAAAGAGAGAAGAAAGCGAAGGTATTATTAGGTGGTGACCAAAGTCATCCCGTCCTTTGGCATGCACTCTGAACTCAAAGTGTAACGTCTTGCCCCAGGCCACTGAATACACTACTTACAATCCTGGGAGAAACATTGGAATTTGTGGACCTTGAAAATTGTACCAGTTCCGTTCGTAGTGTGATCGATGAGGACAATGAATATGCAAAGCTCGCGTGACGTTTTCCAATTTGAAACACCTGTGGCACCAGTGAAGTATATCCCGCATATCACTATTACCACAACTTCTCGGTTTTCCATTTTTGTGACCTGTGAGGAGTTCATGGGAGGCTCCGTAGGGTTTTAATAACAAAT